TTATCCAACAACAAAATAACATCCTTAAATCCCACAACAAAACAACATCCTTAATACACCTTTAAATTTTGTCGTCGGGGGGTATTTTCATCGTTCGCATCAGGGCTCATCAAACACAGGACCGGCTCTGTCACCCCGCCCCACCGTAAACGGGTGATGGAATGTATAGGAAAGGGAAAATGCCCAATGGGGCAGGGGGAGCCCGTCCCGTTGCCTTCCCTACCAACCCTAGGCATCGGAAACTCCGCTTCCTATCTAAAAGCTTTTTTGAAGCACAATTACTGAAAATCCATCCTTATCTTTATTGGGATCATACCTGCTTTTATCAAAAAATTACCTGTTTTTATCAAAAATATTCAAAAATATTACCTGTTTTTATCAAAAATATTCACCTATAGTTAATTCCTTTTTCTTTGTACTCAATCGAACTCTACATAATTCCTAAATTTTTGCAATTCATGTACTACATTTGGTATATTTTTCATTATGAAAAGTAATTATGTAAAATCATGATGCTTGACACTTGAAAAAGTAATTGTAAAACACAGCTATCATTTAAATCATGATTATTCTTGAAGTGTATTCAATAACTTTTAAAAATATTTTCGTTGGCTATTTATCACCATATTATTTTTCACTAAGGTAATTCGAAAAGTGCTCATTCTCTATAACATTTTGTAACATTGACTAAAAATGATTCACGTAATGTATTAATAATTAATAAATTATTTACTTATCGATAAATTAAAATTCTTCTAAAGTAATAATGTTTCTGGATCCCAATAATATTATTTTATAGAGGTTTAGCGGCAGAGTGTGACAATAGAAATTAAGATATCATAGCTACAAAGTTATTGTTCGCAACAAATAAAAATTAAATTTATTACACAGTGTTATTAAAAATTACAACAACAAATGAAAGATAGATAGAAATTTAGACAGTTCCATCTATAAGGATGAATAAAAAAAAAATAGGTGACAAGTTTTCGGTCTCGATTCTTTTAATGGCTTACAAAAAATTGTGAAGTGTAATTTTCTTGTTTCACATTCATTCTTTGTGCTTCAAGTTACAAAATGTTGATTATTATGAACCTATAATTCATATAAACAATCAAATAATTAATTTATATATTGAGATTATTAAAAAAAAATGAATCGATTATATATTACATGGAATTGAGAACCAATCAAAACTTTTCAAATCGCAATTTCAAGATCCAGAACTAATAAATCATTAATCAGACCCTATTCGAAATCCTATTTATTTTTTATTTGAGCAATGCCAGACATAATCGAACAATATAATGCACAAACATGTAGCAAATTTATCTTTCTTGATCATGATTATTCCTCCTCGACCCCATATACGGAGTATTTCATAATTAGTACAACAATCGAACAAGACCCAAAATTCATTTATGACAATTATGATTATACAACTCATTTGACAAATTCTAGCACCCACTTTTTATTTTATTGAGTTTTGATCAGTATTTTGTGATCATTCTTCACGGGCTAAGGAATCTTGAGATTTTGCATTGGCCCCTATCTCGTGGACATATAATTAAAGGTTAAAGAATTGGTAACAAGCAATTTAATTTCATGACCAAAACAAATCAATTTAATCTAATTATATGTTTTTAAAGCCTAGTTGAACTTAACATGATTCTCTCAAGGAGAAAATATAATAATCAAATTGAATCACCAAGACGTTTATTAGAAGATAGTGCAACTATGCATATAATTCTTGAAAACAAAATCTATTTCTTGAATTTAACATTAGCATATAATAATATACTAATTCGATAGTATAGGTGTATGAAATATCATTAGAAGTTACAAAAGAGCTAGTAATATCTTATCGAATGATACAATATCATACGTTAAATATGCACTTTATTCAGAAGAAATTTGCTTAAATTTAAAGATGGAATCATATATATTGAAACAATAAATGAAATAATAAACTTATGGTTATAAGCCGAAATTTCATAGTCTTAGACGTTTTAGTTGCTCAACCACGCCTAACTCCGATGGATCCACAGAGTGTTTGGAAAATATAGAGTTTGAATCTCCTATATAAAATATCTTGATACCTGGTGGGTGATGTTACGATACAATTTTCTAACTATTATTTCTATAAAAATAATTTTCTCAATTGATAAAGAAAATAAATAGCTTAAATAAAATTGCATAAAAATGTATCATAATTATAATTGCACTGAACTTCTAGTCACACCGCCTTGTGCAATTATAAGAAGACGATTTTTTTTTTCTAATTTAATTTCTAACTTATTTTAATGTTATAAATGGAAAGTTACTATTTTACCCTTTCAAAAATATTAAAAATATGGTCAAAGTCAAATTTCTCAATCAACTAATAGACATTTGGATGAAAACCGTCCAAAAGGGTCTTCGCCACAACTTTTTCAAAGGTTTGGGGTGACGATTGCAACAAATTAAAGATTTGAAAAAATTTTGCTAATGTTTTAAAGGTTTGAAGTCTATGCTGCAATTATCCCTAAAATCAATTGCCACATGCCTTACTAATATGAATGATGTTATTTGTACATAATAGAGTTAACATGTAGTGATGTATATGAAAATCAGATTCAAAGTTCCTGTTATTCAAAATCGTTTGAATAGGGATCAATTTGTAAAAATAGAAACGTAAAGATTGCAAAAATTAAAGGAACACGAGACAAAACGATATGTTTTTACCCTAGAATAGGGCCCGGATGTTTAGTCGTTAGACTTAGTCACTCGTTGAGCATCTATCACAAGATTGTGCTCAAGATCCACTAATATCAGCCAAAGAATTAGTACAACTGTTCGAAGAAATCAAAGATTTCTTCGATATTTCTCTAGCCTCTCTATTTACAAGATCTGTAACCTACACACGTTACAATCTCAAAGATTGCACTAAGCACTCACTGATTCACAAAGAAAAAGAGATTGCACTTCACAAAGAATGATTACAGAGCTATGTAAGCAAAACCCTAGCACTCAGAAGACGAAGAAGAAAGACCCCAGAAGTTTCACTCACAGTGAGTCAAAGAAAAATTGTGACCAAGTATTTAAAGTTCCAGTCCAAAGGTCATGATCCAAGGGTCAAGATGAAGCCACGTTGACGACAGATATTAACCCTTAAAAAGAGGCATGGCATGCTATTTCAAGAAGCACAATTTTACTAAATCTTGCAGTTTATCAAAAAACACAGAACCGGCCCAATTGGACAGGTCCAACCGGCCAAGAATAATAGTGAGGCAGTCCAAAACTTTAACAGTTCCTAAGACATATTATTCATTCTCTAAAAGTGTTCATCAATCTTGATAGGTAGAAAATATATTGAAACATTTTTATATGGATAAATCTCGTCCATTGATATCATATATAATTAGAACGAAATGGTTTGACAATTATGAGGTCGGGCAATATGTGCACTATTTCATTTTAGTTAGCATGAAATGCTGAATTCTATAATCACACACGCTCACATACAAGGGGCTTGTTTGGGAAAATAAATCTCATTATATTTGAAGTCAAAATTAAACATTTTAGCAGCACGTTATAATTATTATTACTTATTATCCATATATTTGTTGAGATCTACTACTCATTTTCATTATAAATTCTCCAAAATAAGAACCAAGATAAAAGGTGTACGAAGGTTTGTTTTCTCACGTCAGAGTATGATATCATATTTAGTTTTGTTCAACTCAATATAATTGTCATGTAAAAGTATTCAAATAAACTAGATAGAGTATATGTTTGGACTTTGGAAAGTTGTTTCAATATGTTTATAAAACTTAATTTTCTTACTTTTAAGTTCAAAAGGTTATGTATTTTAAAGATAACTCTTACGTTTCTATTAAATAAGCAAATTACTTATTTTTACTTTTGACCAACAATAAAATAATTCGCTTATAATTGAAATTTTTTAATTTTATCATAATTTAGATCCCACAATCAAGCATAAAAGAGGAAAAGGGATATGAAAAAGTTTCCCCTTTGCATCCATACTTCCATGGCAGACAAGAATTCTTCCATCACAACTGATTTTCAAGAATAAATTTGATTGAAAAAGTTTCCCCTTTGCATCCATACTTCCATGGCTGACAAGAATTCTTCCATCACAAATGATTTTCAAGAATAAATTTGATTGTGAAAGCTATAGAAAATCTTGAACATAAATTGCATTAAATTATTGTTCGTTCAACATTTGCTAAAAAGCATTGGACAATAATAGAAATTTTCTCAATTATAATCAAATATGGGAGCTGCTTCTGAATGAACCAAGAGCTTTAACTACTTGTGCTCTCAGAATAATTTGGCGGTAGAAGGTTGCAGTGATTACACCAATAAAGGGTCCCCATCCAAATTAAGAGACAAAAGTATTGGCATTAGTGGGTCACAATTAAACTTTTTGTTTTAAGAGACAAATTAAGGTTGCAGTGAACTGAACGAATTCATGTAATTCTTTTTGTTTTCTTTTAACAGTCAAACTCAAGTTCGGATAAAGAATAATGAAAAAATCGAATTTATGTGTAATATTATTTTATTAAAAAATATGCGATTGAATATGAGTTTTAAAAAAAATAAATTTAGGGTTAAATAAAATTTTTTAATCCACGTGAAAAATAAAAGCAACCTTGGAGTAATTTGTTGACAGAGGATTCATAAATCTAAGTGCAGACACGCATCAATCATAACCAAAACTATCAAAGCCATTGAATCGTTGGAAAAACCACTGCATCAAATCTGATGGCTCCGCCCCAGTTTTCACTCAACCAAATACAGTTTCGCAAAATTTTGACATTCTCCTTCTCCGTCTGCATATAAATTCTCTCTCTCCCTCTCTCGCTGCAAGTAATTTGAATTACCCACTCGATCAGTCCATAACATTCTTTCTTCACTTCCTTAATTGTGCAATAAAATAGGGAACGTAATGGGCGATAAAGACGGGATGTGTAAATTTGAGGCAGCATTGAAGAGCATGCAGCAGCATAATAAAAGTGTTTTTGCAGAATCGGGGAATTCCAAGACCAATCACGCCAGGCGGATCTCCGGCGGTGCAGGGCGGAATCCGATTAATTGGTTCGCGGGAGATGAGGAATGGACGAGAGCCCACGAGAAGGCTGAAACTCTCTTCCATTTAATATTTTATGGGCCCAATTAGCTTTATTTTATTTATTTTTTTTCTCCTCTTTGGCGTTTAAATTTTAAAATAGAGGTT